GTGAGCGAATTGTGTGAGCACTTGAAAAAGTTAATACCACATCACTTCATTTCCAAAACTCAGGCAGAATATGTTTCACATCGAAAGAATAATTTAAAAGAAAACGAAGTGTTGGTTCAATGCGATTTTTCCGAAAATTATGCTTATGTCGCACAAGATGCGGCACAAGCATTCCATTATAACAACAACCAGTGCACAGTTCACCCCGCAGTAGTATACTACAGAAGTGACACGGAGATAAAGCATTGTAGTTTCATTGTGTTGTCAGATTCTACAACACATGACACATCAGCCGTTTACATTCTTCAAAAATTTTTAATTCCTGAGATAAAGAAGATTGTACCAAATGTAGAAAAAGTTGTTTACGTAACCGATGGTGCCAAGCAGCATTACAAAAACAAGTATCAAATGTGCAACCTAGTCCATCACAAGGAAGATTTTGGGATAGATGCAGAATGGCACACCCATGCAACTGCTCATGGTAAAGGAGCGTGTGACGGAATAGGTGCAACATTTAAAAGGGAGGCAACACGTGCTAGTCTGCAGGCTAAACCTACAGAAGCACTTTTAACACCAGAATCCCTTTTTGAGTGGGCTAAAAAAAAGTTTGTGGGAATTAAAATATTTTATTACACAACGGTTGCACATAAAAAAATGCAGAGACATTTAAATAAACGATTCGCAAATACTCCTGCAGTTAAAAATATTCAAAGTAGTCATGGCTTTATAGTCGAACCAAATAAAACTTTAAATGTATTGCAATACTCGAGTGCTACAACTTCCACAAACATTGTAAATTATCAATAATTTTGTTTTTTCTTATCAAACATTATCAACGTTCAAAAGGACCTTTTCAGGGCCACCAAATTATCCAATGAAAGCTTGAAAAATTTTCTAAAAACTTTCTGTACACAATCGGCCCTTTTCAGGGCCATCAAATTATCCAATGAAAGCTTGAAAAATTTTCTAAAAACTTTCAGTACACAATCGGCCCTTTTCAGGGCCACCAAATGATCCAATGAAAGCTTGAAAAATTTTCTAAAAACTTTCAGTACACAATCGGCCCTTTTCAGGGCCACCAAATGATCCAATGAAAGCTTGAAAAATTTTCTAAAAACTTTCAGTACACAATCGGCCCTTTTCAGGGCCACCAAATGATCCAATGAAAGCTTGAAAAATTTTCTAAAAACTTTCAGTACACAATCGGCCCTTTTCAGGGCCACCAAATTATCCAATGAAAGCTTGAAAAATTTTCTAAAAACTTTCAGTACACAATCGGCCCTTTTCAGGGCCACCAAATGATCCAATGAAAGCTTGAAAAATTTTCTAAAAACTTTCAGTACACAATCGGCCCTTTTCAGGGCCACCAAATGATCCAATGAAAGCTTGAAAAATTTTCTAAAAACTTTCAGTACACAATCGGCCCTTTTCAGGGCCACCAAATTGTTCTTTATACAAACATTCAAGGCGTAAATTAGTTGTATTTTTTTCAATTTTTGGCAGACATTTTGAATCCGACATTTTGAATTTCTAAAAACTAACGTCAAATTAGTAATCAGCGACCTCAAAAACCTTCATATGGAAAGTTTCAAGCAAAAAAATGAATTTTTGAACTACTTTTAAAATTTTTGTCCGCCATTTTGGATCCGCCATTTTGAATTTCTAAAAACTAACGTCAGATTAATAATCAGCGACCTCAAAAACCTTCATATAAAAAGTTGCAGGCAAAAAAAAACGAATTTTTGAACTACTTTTAAAATTTTTGTCCGCCATTTTGGATCCGCCATTTTGAATTTCTAAAAACTAACGTCAGATTAGTAATCAGCGACCTCAAAAACCTTCATATGGAAAGTTTCAAGCAAAAAAATGAATTTTTGAACTACTTTTAAAATTTTTGTCCGCCATTTTGGATCCGCCATTTTGAATTACTAAAAACTAACGTCAGATTAGTAATCAGCGACCTCAAAAACCTTCATATGGAAAGTTTCAGGCAAAAAAACGAATTTTTGAACTACTTTTAAAATTTTTGTCCGCCATTTTGGATCCGCCATTTTGAATTTCTAAAAACTAACGTCAGATTAGTAATCAGCGACCTCAAAAACCTTCATATGGAAAGTTTCAGGCAAAAAAAACGAATTTTTGAACTACTTTTAAAATTTTTGTCCGCCATTTTGGATCCGCCATTTTGAAATCTTAAAAAATAACATCAGATTCTTCATCAGCGACCTTAAAAATTATCGAATAATGTGTTTTCCGCAAAGAAACCATTCTTTCTGCTTCTTTTATCTTTTGTCCGCCATATTGGATCCGCCATTTTGAATTTTTGAAAAAAAACTTTAGATTTATAATCAGTGACCCTAAAAACTGTTAAATAATGAGTTTCAGAATTATAAACCTCGTTTTTAGCTTTTAATTCATAAAAGTATTTTAAAATTTCTCGACTTTTTGACTTTTGACAGCTCTATTGGCACCAAAAATGAAATTTTTTAAATAACGCCCATCGGCATCTTAAAGTACACGAATGTAGAAATCTTTTAAGCCCTAGAACGTTTAAATCCATCAAAACCATTTTTGTTTAGAGCTCTGTCCGTGTTGACGTGGAATGTCCCATATATATATGAGTGTGTGTGTGTTGAAATTGTGTGGCAACCTGATTTTAGAAACAAAATTGCCAAATGGCGAAAATTGTGTTAGTTTCTATTGAATCTAAAAGAGCTATTGTTCTGGTTTCATGTATATATGATCGCTATATAGAGTATATCAGATTTCACATGAATGTCATCATTTGGAGGGAGTAAAAATACGTGAGAGCTGCGCATAAGGGATCAATAGATTTCGAATACATGCAGGAAATGTGTATTCTATCAAGTGATGGCTTTAGCTGGCCAGTGTACGATTTGCATGTACCTACAAATGTTCGATTCATATACGAGCAGTTGAACATGTCAATCCATTGGAACACCTAAATTTGTTTCATACCTGATACCAGTTTATCTTTATACTCATTCACGCTTCTCAACTTTTACATTCAATGTTCTATATATATATAGTATATATACTTTAATACTGCCCATTAAAAATTGGTATTATTTTTTTTAAAGGAGCTCTATTTTATATAGAATTCACGCACTTTTGAATATAACCACTGCAACGGACAGCAAAAATATTTTCTAAAGAAAATTGAAATACAGAAATTACATTGCATTCATTCATAAAATAGAATTTTTCAAGTCGAACTAAATTTTTCAAGCATTTTTATAGAAATTGTAAATTGCTTTCATTTATTTCGTCTGCTTAACTCTATTCAACAGTGTTTCCCCTTTCTTTTCACCTTCATTTATTTTGAAGAGAAATTTATTATTTTTAGAATCTTGAGAATTTTTAAATAAAATGAAAACATATTTTGGAAGATTTTTGACTTTTTGTCATATCTATGTAACGAAATTAACATTATTAAATGTATTCCAAAAATTATAATATTTAAGGACGTTCTCTACCAAAAATTGTTAAAGTTCACTACTGGCGCGGTACTGGTATCAGTAACGCGCCAGTAGTGAACTTTTGATAGGGTATATATCCGTAAATGTAGACCTTAAGAAAAAAATATTTAATTGACATTTAAAAAAATATATATATATATATATATTATTATTAATAATATCCTCTGAATATTCCTTAAAACTTTTGAAAAATGATCCGATTTTCATAAATGATGGCTTATTTTCTTTAAAAAATATAAAAATAATATCTTCACCGCTGGGATTTTTAAGCAAATGCACAGTTTTTTAAATATGGTTTAAATATGAAAATTATTTTCAATTTTTCTTAAATAAATAACGATATTTAAAAAACGGTGCACTTGTTTAACCCCTTGACAGTCTATGGCCTATATATGTCTATAGAAAACAGTCGTCCCACCTTTATGTGTTTGGACATATAATTATGTCCCTCTTAGAAAAAAAATACTAAACATAATTCAATTTGAATGTAAATTGGTATATTAAGGTTTTTGGGGTAGCTGAATCCAAATTTAAGGTCAGATTTAAAAAATTCAAAATGGCGGATCCAATATGGTGGAAAAATTTTAAATTTATTCGATTTGTTCAAAATTCGGTACTAGGAGGTTTTTAGGGTCGCTGAATCCAAATTGTAGGTCAGATTTAACAAATTCAAAATTTGGATACCTACATAGACTTCAAAAACCCCCGAATACCGATTTTTGAACTAATCAAATCAATTTTAAAATTTTCTGCCATATTGGGTCGTCATATAAGGTCCGCCATTTTGAATTTTTTCAATTTGACCTCAAATTTGGATTCAGCGACCCAAAAAACCCTCGAGTACTGAATTTTGAACAAATCGAATAAATTTTAAATTTTTGTGCTATATTAATTCGCCATATTGGGTCCGCCATTTTGAATTTTTTAAATCTGACCTTAAATTTGGATCATCGTATTAAAAATACGATGATATATTTTTTTGGAAACTTTTTTTTTGGACCGTGGACCCACAAATGATTTTTCTACTGGACTGAGAAGGAGTTAAAAATTCCAGCGGTGAAGATATTAAGTATTATTTTCTGAAGAAAATAATAGCCATCATTCATTAAAATCAGGTCATTGCAATTTTAATTAAGACTATTATTCAATATTTTAAAAATTATAGTTCCCGACATAATTAACATTGTCTTTGTTAAAAAAAAATTCCCAAATTGCATCGAATAGTACCAACTTCTTTTAAGCTTTAACATCTATTTTTTGAAAATCTTTTACAATCAAAAAAAAAAGTTAAGTAGATTTGTTGTTTTATCATTTATTCAAATATGTTTATACCTAATGACATTGAAAATAACATTTGTTAATTGATATTTGAATTCTTTTAAAAGGATTTATTTCATGACAATTAATTAACTGTAAATTTGAAAGTTTGTAAAATGTAAATTATACTGCTGTTGTTGCTGTGTATAAGAAAGGAGTTTAAATAAACTTTTTGTTTTACAGAATGGACGAGCCAGCAGTGAAAGTAGTGAGGATGGAGTTGGAAGTAGCGCCAGCACGTCTCGTGGTGCCGGAAGTGGATTTGGTACCGGGTGTGCAGGCGGATGGCGAAGCGTCTTTGGAGCTGTTTCCGGTCGTGAGCTAAGGCTCTACGAATGCGCACCCTGGAGTCCAGAAGCTTGGGCGTCACCAAGTATTACCTGTCCTCTTATTGCCACGAGGTAAGCAACTTTCATTCAAAACTTTCCAAGTTTTCACCCCCTTTTTTTATATATATATATATATATAAACAACTTTCCAAGTAAACAGCTAATTTTATCTCAAACATAAAGTCGTAATTAATTTTCATATTTCTTGCACATTCTATACAGTAATAAGCTCAAAGTTTCTATTCCTCTACCGTCTGCTGTAAAATATTAAATTACCTTTAATATTTTCAAAGGTGTGTATAGCTTAAAATGAAAAGTTTTCAATGTCAATGAAAAGCTATTAAATTTATTTATGATTTAATAAACCGTTTCTCTTCTATTTTGATTAATTAATGTTTCGTTTCGTGTACAAATAAATGTAACTAAATATTAAATTAATATTTTATTTTGCATTAGGCAAATTTTTTTTATATTTTATTAGAATTATTTTTTTTTAATTTTTTGCAAAATGTGGTAAAAAAAATTGGCCTAAAATTATCATTTATTATATATAATTAAGTCTACATGTGCGATGTGTATATAAAAAAAAATTTTTTTGACCCAAAAAATATATACAATGAATGGATTATTCAGTCGTGTTCACAATTCAATAGAAAGGATTATCAATGAGGCGTACGCAGACTGTCGGATTACTGCAGTTAGCGTTGTTCGTTATGTCCATCGCTATTTTAATTAAGACTATTATATCCGGCGACGTTCGTCTATATATATATATATATATATCGCGCGGCTGGACGTGTTACGTGCACGGACAACCAAATCTCACGTCACACGCTTGTGAATCTCGCTAGATTCACTTTATACTAATATTATTCTCGAAAATGTCTCGGTAATTAAATTTTACTATGCCAGAACACTAAACTGAAAACGTCATTGAATTTCATTTCCATTAATTATATATACTTATATAACAATTTATTGTACACTGAAAAAAAAATTATTCGATTCAACTACTTGATTACTTGCAAACAAACATTTACTTGAACCAAACCAAACCTACTACTGTTTTATAGTAGTTATTTTTTTTTAATTTTTTACTAAAAAAAAATACTGTTACTAATCAGTTGATTAAAATTTTAAATTTTGAAAATCAGATGTCAAATTCAAAATCAGCAACCTCAAAAACTCCCGAGTTATAAGTTTCAAGCGAATTTGGTCAATCTTAAAATTTTTTTGTCGCCATATTGGATCCGACATTTTGAATTTTGAAGAACTAACATCGGATTCGTAATTAGCAATCTCAAAAACAATATAGATTGCATAATTAAAAAAATTTTCTTTTTAAAGATATGAATTTTTGCCAAAAATTTACCGCCTCTGGCCCACTGTACACTGGCGTTCCACGGAACGCCCTGCCAGTAAAGTGGTTAATAGGTATACAAACTGAAATTTCGCGGTTTGCGAAAAGTTTGGTTAAGAATGTTCCCTTCTTATCATACAATTCTAGATGCTCCGATTATTTCGTCACATATACTGTGTGTTAAATACTGTATATTTGAAAAAAGTTTTATATTGCAAAAAAAAATAAAATGTAATTTATCGCAAACTGTTTTCATTTTTAATTTTATTATGCTTTTATTCACTAACACATTCACCCTTTTGGGGAATGTTTTTTCATTCATTATGATGATTTTTTTATCATTTTAAAAAATGATTTTAAGTGATTCAACTTCCAATCAATACTAATTTTTATTGGTCAAAACAAATATATTAATTAATATTTTAATCAAATGAGATCGATGAAAACTTTACAAAAAAATATATAAATTATTTTGTATATTTAAAATATCTTATCTTTTGGAATTGTATATATATATATATATATATATATATATATATATATATATATATATGAAAAAGCGAGAATTGTGCGATAAGGTTGAAATCCTTTTGAATTTAGAACAATTGTTATATTACAATGCTTTTTTTAAAATTAGCTGCATTCGCCTGGATAAATTGCATTTTTCTGATTTCATTAGATTATAGCTCTTGTTCATTGTATTACTTAACGTTATTGCTTTTCATGTAATCACATTGCACTCGCGTTGGAGAATGTGGTATAAATTCAGTAAGGTAATTAATTATATTTTTAAATGTTATTTCTTTTGGTACAATCGCTTTAATTTTATTGGATGAGAATATTTGAATATAGAATCGAATTTCGAGGAAAAGTAGTTTTATTAATCGTTAGAGGATTAAAGTACTTAGTCAAAAATTCGCTAAAAATTAAAAAATTATGTTCACTGTTCTGCGGTAGTTATTTTCTACATCAAAATTATTTAAATTTTTTAAAAATATATTTATTTCAAAGCTAAATAATAATTTGTTTTAAATAAAAATTTTATTTAGGACAAATGAAATTTTTTTGAATCAATTGAAAATTATTTGTGATAAATATTTTTTTTTTTTTGATAACACGATTGTCCTTTTTTTAATAGAAAACATATATTGCATGACCATAGGGTACTTTTTCTACTTAAAAAAAAGAATATTTCATTATGGGTTCATACCACTTTGTCAACTTCAAAAAATCGATTTTTTTTACGGATTTCGAAAGAAGGACATTCCAGGAATGTTGTGTAAAAATTGCAGAAAGATCTGAGCAGTGTAAATATAGTTTTTACGATTTTATTTGAGAGCGTACATTGGCGCGCCTGTTACTCATACGAAACTTTAAATTCGTTTTTCTCAAAACAACATTTTTCCATACCGCGGGATGTTTTTCTCGGAAACTACTGGACCGATTCTCAAAATTTTTTTACGAAAATCTTCGTCACATAAGTGGGTATCGCCGGAACTAGAATTATGAAAAAATATTCATTTTTACTATTTTTTTAAACCCTACTCTCTAAATCTGAATAAGTGAAATTTCACTTAAAATGTGTCAAAAGTCTTCCACGTAGAAAAATAAGTGAATATGCACTTAAAAATAAGTGAAATTTCACTTATTTTTGAGTGAAAACCACTTATTTAAAAGCGTGCATATACACTTATTTTTCTACGTGGAAGACTTTTGACACATTTTAAGTGAAATTTCACTTATTCAGATTTAGAGAGTAAAACTGCCAAAAAAAACCTTAATTTTCGAAAAAAAATTTTTAAATTGCCGCCATTTTGTTATTTTTGTATAAAAATTAAAAATTCTAGTTCGGGCGATAGGTGCAGTCCTACTGAAGATAAATCAACTTGAATTTTGTGTTTTAGATTTTTCTAACCTGAGAAATCAATCCCGCAGCTGGCATCGGTATTTTTAGCAGGTCTAAAATTATTGTTAAATTATATATAAACAAATAATATTTTTTGAATAAAATGAGGTTTTTTATAAAGTTAAAAAGTGTATTTATTGAACTAAAAAAAAAATGCAGATCAATATAATCCTTAGGAATCGTAAAAAAAATTATAGAAAATAGCTTCATTTTCAAGCGTGTAAAGTGGTATGAACCCTTATGTCATGATATCTTTGTCTACTGAGAAAAAGAGTTCTTTTTTAAAAATCACTACTTTTTTTATATACTTAAAAATAAATTTTTCTCCTTACAAGCAAATTTTACCTTGATAATGCAATATTTTTTAGTGAAAAAAAATTATGCCAAGAAAATTGTACTTTTTCATTTTAAAATGACGCTTGTCTTAATAAGGCAAGTTTATCCATTATAAAAACATTTTTTCTGTTCAGACTGTACTTTCTCTACTTAAAAAAATAAGTATTACATATTAACAAAGATAGCTGTTTCTACCGAGAAAAGAGATTCTTCCTTGAAAAACCACTTTAAATAGTAAAAAAAAAAAGAAATTGCATGGAAGAACTTCTTGTTTCTTTAAAAACGTCTTTTCTTTTTAGAAAGAAAAGATTTTTCTTATTTTTCATACACGGAAAAATTTTTGGTGCATCACATGAGCAATCTACGGTAGAACTGTTGTACTATGGGTTGCGAGCAACTGTTATCCTGATTTGGCGCATCAGAAGCGCTGTAAGGGACATAGGTTGCACTAAACCGGGATAACTGATTTCCGTTTTTAAAGTACAAAAATTTTTTAACTAACCAGTACAACCGGTGCACCAAAATTTTTTCCGTTTAAAAGAAAATATATGAAAATATTATAAACATTTCTTTTCACTGTATTTGTCATAACATTCTCAGTTTTTCGAGATTATTTATTTTTTAATCGAGACGTGAATCACTAATTTCTGAAAAAAATGGTCCTTTTAGTCAAATCTATAATATTGTCTCAAATAATTAAAATAAATCGATATACTACATATATGTAATTCATAAGAAAAAGAGATTATTAAAATTTTAAACATTATATTATGATTATAAAAATTGAAGTAAAATCACTTTTTTAAAATACGAATATCCACTTTAAAAAAAATCAAAAAAAAGCTATTGGAGAACCTTGGCACTATCTGCGGACGATTAATTATTATAGGGGAGTAATAATTACGGAAGGGGAAAACCTTGTAAAAATTAAGAACCGTGACCAAACTACCTGCTCTAACGCTTATTTGCCAGAGTTTGGGGTAGGAGGATGGATCAGTTCCGGGGGGTTGATAGACCTATGTTGAAGGAATATGGGGAGGGGGGGGGAATGTTTTGGAGGTGGGGAGCGATTCCCGGTTAATTAATAGCAAGTGATTAATCGTCAGAGCCGGGCTACCCTCGTCAAACAAACCTCCAAGCACAGCTCGGAGCTTGTACGTGATCTGCAAATAGGAGCGAGTATCTACATATTGCACACACTTGCATATATATATATATAATATGTTTCTACGTGTGTTCATTTATTCACACCCAGCGGTCTGTGTGCTCGGACTCAAAGCGATTTGTATTTTGTGGTAAAACCGATGAAACAGTTGATCAGTCGAATCGAAAAATTTTCAAAAACCTATAACTTTATTATTTTTTTCCCCTTTTTTAGAATAAAAAATTCGAACATATTTTTCCTTTCTTCTAAATGAAAATTCTTGTTTCTATTTTTGTACACATATAGTACGCCATAGTAGTCGGTCA